CTCGAACGCCTAGTGAGTGAACAGGTAAAGGAGTTTTTATGTAAAAATGATATCCTGTCTAAACATCAGTCAGGCTTCAGAAAGCAACATAGCACCATCACTGCCACAATGAAAGTGGTGAATGACATTACGAGTATTTTAGATAATAAGCAGAGTTGTGCAGCTCTATTTATTGACCTTTCCAAAGCGTTTGATACCGTCGATCATCGCATCTTAAAGCAGAGGCTACTCAGTATAGGCATGTCCAGCCATGCAGTAGGGTGGTTTGTGAACTACCTCTCTGAAAGGTCCCAATGTGTTCACTTTGATGGGCTGTCTTCTGAGTGGTTAAACATTGCTAATGGTGTTCCTCAAGGTTCTGTTTTAGGTCCACTTTTATTCTCCATATATATCAACAGTTTAGGTGAAAATGTGGATGAAGCTACTTTACATTTTTATGCGGACGATACCGTGATGTACTGTGCAGGTCCCTCCATTAAGGAAGCTGGTGTTAAATTACAGGCTGTTTTTAACATTATTCAGACTCAGCTTGCTGAACGTAAGCTTCTTTTAAATGTTGATAAAACCAAGGTAATGCTATTTTCAAAAGCTAAAAAGACACCAGAGCCTGTTTTGGATATTGTTTATATTGATATTTTCTCCAATTAAACAAAGATAAAACTGAGGTAATGGTTTTTGGAGCCAAGTCAGAACGTATAAAAGTTAGCGCTGAGCTTTAGTGTGCAATGTTCAAAACAACAGATAAAGCCAGAAATCTAGGTGTAGTCATGGACTCTGACCTGAGTTTCAACAGTCACATTAAAACATTTACTAAGTCAGCCTACTATCACCTAAAGAATATATCTAGGATTAAAAGACTAATGTCACAGCAGGATTTGGAAAAACTTGTCCATGCTTTTATCTTCAGTAGACTCGACTACTGCAATGGTGTCTTCACAGGTCTCACTAAAAAATCTATTAGGAAGCTGCAGCTGATTCAGAACGCTGCTGCTCGAGTCCTCACTAACACTAAGAAAGTGGATCACATCACTCCAGTTCTGAAGTCTTTACACTGGCTTCCTGTGTGTCAAAGAATAGATTTAAAAATATTGCTACTGGTTTATAAAGCACTGAATGGTTTAGGCCCAAAATACATTACTGACCTCCTGCTAAATGATGAACCATCCAGATCTCTCAGGTCTTCAGGGACTGGTCAGCTTTCTGTCCCCAGAGTCAGAACTAAACATGGTAAAGCAGCGTTCAGTTATTATGCTCCAAATATCTGGAACAAACTCCCAGAAACCTGCAGGTCCGCTACAACTCTGACTACTTTTAAATCCAGACTAAAGACTTTTCCCGCTGCTTTTAATTGAACTATTCACATCTTAAACTGCACTGTAACTTTTATCCATTTATTTTTTCTTTTAATATTTATTTTATTAGCTTTTCTTTTTAATGACTGATTTTAAATGCCCTTTTCTTAATGTCTTTCATTTTTTGTAAAGCACTTGTGTTGAAAAGTGCTATATAAATAAACTTGCCTTGCCTTACTATGCAAGGACAAGTACTTGAAGTGGTTACCTGTTATAAATACCTAGGTATCTGGCTTGATGATTGTCTTACTTTTAAACTTCATGTCAATAACCTGCTTAAAAAGCTGAGGGTTAGACTAGGTTTCTTTTTCAGAAACAAGTCCTGTTTCTCTTTTGAAGCCAGGAAAAGGCTAGTCACCGTGACCTTTTTACCTGTGCTGGACTATGGTGATTTGTTGTATATGAATGCACCTGCCTATTGCCTGAACAAGTTAGATGCCGCCTATCACAGCGCACTGAGATTTGTCACACTTACTCATCACTGTACCCTGTATGCCAAGGTAGGTTTGCCATCACTCTCTGTACGGAGGCTCAGTCATTGGTACACGTTTTTTTATAAAGCTTTGTTGGGTAAACTCCCGTATTATAGCTGCTCTCTGAAAACACAGAGAGTTGCAAGCAGCTATTGTCTGAGATCGCATGATGTAGTATTGTTAGATGTGCCAAGAGCAAGGACTGTCTTAGGTAAGACAGCTTTTATGTGCGCAGCTCCACTTGCTTGGAACAATCTTCAGCAAGAATTGAAACTGAGCAATCTCATTCCTCTGCATGTTTTTAAAGCTAGGCTAAATGAAATGCTCGTTGATACTATGGGCACTTGTACATGTCTATAACTATGTAAATGTGCCCGTAAATGTGATTTCTTATTTAATAAAGAATTTTTTTTTTTTTAAATTCACATTTTTCCTTTAGTTTTCAATATCGCGATAAATATCGTACCGTGGACTTTTTATCGCGATATTATCGTACCGTGAGTTTTTGGTATCGTTACATCCCTAGTAGATACAGTGAAGGCTTTGACTTTTCAGTTTGGATATTTAATAAGAAAAATCTGTTACATGACCCTGCAGGAAGCTGAAACCTCGTTAACGACCCTGGGGCTCTGTGTGTGTTTCCTAATTTGTCCTAATGTCATTATTCTGTCCGAATTCAATCAAATAACAATTGAATAGCAGGACGTCACAGTTTGTAGCATCTACCAGTTCTCTATCGGTGGTGTTTTATGTTTTGAGGCTTGTTTGAATATGCATGGGGTTAATGGGCAGTGCTGCAGGTGAAGAGTATGTATGTGTGTTGTGTTTGTGTGTGTGGCCAGACCACTCACCAGGCCTGATGATTCATCCGGGCTCCATTACGTCCAGGCAAGCGCTTCCTTTTGTCTCGGCTGGGAGAGAAAGAAAGGGGGGGGGAAAGCACGAGGAGGGAAAAGAGGCAGCAGGCTGTCAGTAGTGATTATACATGACAGGATGCAATTTCAAACTGCACGCCTGAGTGTGTGTGTGTGTAGTGTGTATTTAGTCATTTGATGTAGGTGTTTGGAGCCTCAATTGAAATGGAAGAACTGTATGATTTTGTTTTGTCCTGTTCCGTAATCAACAGGCATTTCATGTTCTTTTATTTTTCCTATTTGATTCAGTCCTGGACGGAAAGAGCAAAAACTGGAGACCCAGCAGATCTGAAGAAGAGGAAGAGGGCCGAAGGAGGAGCAGAGGGTGCAGAGACAGAGAAAGGACAGGCAGAAGCAGATGAAAATAGTGCCAAGAAGAAAAAATCTCTAGATCCATCCTCCAAGCTTTCGGCATTTGCTTTTAACAAAAACTAAACATTTTATTTTAGTCTTGGTTTCAGTGCAAATGTATGTAGGAAATCTGTTTGCTGCGTTAGATAATGCGTCTGTTATTTGCGGCACTTATCAGAACATAAATTCATTAATAATGGGGCATCCTTTGTTTTGATTTTACATTTACAACACTTCTATAAACCCTTATAAACTGTATTTTACAAATTGAATAAATGTAAATGTTAGTTCACATTTTTAGTCTCCATCCATTTTTTTTGTGTGGCATTGAATTCATTCACAAAGAAGTGAAAAAAGGGGAGCTCATATTTGATGGGCTCTTTCAAGGATATGTCTGGTGTTATATTCAAAAACAACAACAATGACTACATTCTGACTTCCCTTCTGTCTGTGGCTCTCAGCCCGTTTGTTCCTCCTGAAGATGCAAATATATAACAAAAAATAGGTCACCAATGTAAAGAAAATTCCTATTTAACAAAGTAATTTGCTTGCAGGAGACCAACGTGATGTCTGAAGCTCAGGGTTATTTGATCTTGTACAAATAGAACAGGATAATAATAATATATTTATTTTGTTAGCGCTTTTACAGGTGCTCAAAGTCGCTTTACAGAGATAGTGAAAAGAAAAGAACAACACATAAATATAGTTACATTTAAAATCAAGGATAAACAATACAAGCAAATACACAGAGGCAGTCCCATGGCTCCATCTGTTTTGAAACATTGCCAATCTCTCATGGTATTCATCCAGAACGGGGCGAGGCGGAGCACCATGTAGAAGCTTGTATGACATGCAACTTCTTGATGTTAAACAGACGAAACACCTCCTTATTATTTATCCTTAAGGTAACTTTGTTCTGCTTTTTTGTTTTTTATTACTGCTTTCGTCCCTTTGTAGTATTTTTTAAAAGTTTGTTCTTATCTTGATGTAACTTTTTTGTTGGATTTTCAGTTTTCTTACTGCGGCAGAAGCAGTCAGCTAGCAGGTCGCATTAATAATCAGGACTGAGATTTAAAACTGACATTTCATTGTCAGCCTTTTCCACTTTACACTCCACCACATTTTGAAAGGCGTAATTGTGCTTTTTACTCCACCCCATATATCTAAATCTACACGCATCACTTGAAAAGCTCAGAATGGTTGGTCCCTAAACTATATTTCAGATATGTTAACTCCTTGTGTGCCGTCAGGGCCCTGAGGTCTTTAAATCCTGCTTTCTCTCTGGGTCCTAGATCCAGACACAAAGGTGAACGAGCGTTTGCCAACATATTTTGCAATATCTGTCTATCTCATTATTTAACACTCCTTACAAGACACTTATATAGTCTAGCCTTCCTGTAATCTATTTTACCAGCATTTTTGTTTGTATTTAATCTGAATTGTATTCACAATGTCCACTCTTTTTATATCGTATTGCTTTATTTAATCATTTTATGGAAGGTGCTTTTGTTATAGTTTTTCTAATACATTAATTATTGGGTTTGTTGTTAACCCCCTGTAAAGCTTGTTGTACACATTGTTTTGGAAAGGTTCTATATGAATAATGTTAATTATCTATTAATATTACTTATTTTCTTTAATTGCAAGACTTGTACTATAGAATGCTTAAGTTTTAGCCAGTTGTACCCAAGACAATATGATTCTGTAATGACCCATTATGCACATTGAGTACTTTACTTCAGCTATACCTGAAGTACAAGCAATGATAATATTCATGTACTTTTACTTAGTAAGATTCTGAATGTAGTATTGATATGAGCACTTGTTGCATCACAAATGAAATAGTCGTAGACCACGCCCCCTGGATCCGGCCAGCCAATAGGAGCTCTCCCTGGATTATCTGCTGTTATAAAGGCTGGATGTAGAGACTGCTGGAGGAGCGCGTACTTTAACTCGGAACAGAAAGAGATTCAGAAAGCAGCAACTGGTCCAACAAGTGCTCAGCAGACAGGAAACACAAGTTAAACACAGAAGAAGAAGAAGTGATGGAGCACTCCAAACAGACCCAGTTCGGCTCCAGCGACAAGAAGGACGCCGGGACCAGCTCCGTGGTGAACGGACACTGTGACGGGATGGTGAAGCGGCCGGCCGGCGGACCCTCCCAGCCTCCCGCCGCGGAGTCCGGCTCTCAGCGGCCGGTGATGGAGAGCTGGCGGGAGGATCGCACCAGGAGCGTGGAGGACAACGAAATAAGCCTGCCGTCCCTGGCCGCCGCTTACACCACCATCCTGCGGGGGCTCGGGGATGACCCCCAGCGGCAGGGGCTCCTCAAGACCCCCTGGAGAGCGGCCACCGCCATGCAGTTCTTCACCAAGGGCTACCAGGAGAAACTCATCGGTGAGTTTGTAAGTCCCAAAGCCGCCCAGAGGATGCGGCGATTTGTCCTGCGGTCAACAGGTGGCTGCTAAAGGAGAGACAGCATCTCCCAAAACTTACTCTCTATACTTCCTTCATATTTACTAATTCTCAGATAATCAGAAATGAGACTTTTACCCATAGGCGGCGCGTGAGGCTCAGGTTTGGGAAGGCTAAATAACTTGTTTTACCTGATGCTACCCGCCTCCGGCGTCTATAGAAAAGAGATCAACTCAGTGTGCGGAGTTTAAATCTCTCAAGTCATATTACAGGATAAAGGAAATACAGTTTAAACTGCCGTATGCAGAGAAGACGCCGACGTGTCGCACTTATCATTCATATTACATCATCAATCAGATCATCGATCATATAATATCATAATATATCATATATTTCCTTATCTGAGTCAGCTTCTCCAGCCGTATCTGGCCGTGCAACACTTACAGTGTCACATACTGTATGCAGAAGTATTATTTTAAGCAACACATTATGTTGACGAAACACAGTCAAATGTAATTAAAGTCAGATCCACTCGTGTCTTAGACGTGAACGCGCTCTCAGCTGGAGAGAGAAACCCTGGCTTGATTTACCGAGTTGATAACCAGCGTCGTAGGACCGCTTAGCGAGATCTCGTTTGTTAGTTTGTTGTTGTTAGTTTGTTACTCAAACATATCCAGGGTCTGTTGAACTGGCTTCGTAGTACAGGGCACAGGTGGCTAGCAGCGCTAATGTCAAAGACACAGACATTATACATTATATTTGTATTTTACCAGGATGCAGTGACACAAATATTTGGGAAGGCTTAGCCTTCCCTAGCCTACGGCACCCGCCGCCCCTGCTTTTACCTGATTTAAAGGACGTAGTTTAATAAGTAAAAGCTATTATTTCCCTTTTTAACTCAACTTTATACTAAGTGGGACATACTTTTATTGTCAATCAACGTTCATTTGACAGCTGTAGTTTGTCCATTAAAACTTTAAAAATAAATTGATCAGTAAAAACAAATATTGTGACAGATAAAGCTCCCCAGCAACATATAAAGTGTATCTAGCCTACTTATATTTTGATATTTCATTAGGTATATCTCAACCAGCTACATCATGAAAATCCTTCTTATACAGGAATCGAACTCTAAAAAGACAATAATATACAGTTAATCAACAGTTGAGCCAACTTGCTGCATATTGAGTGCTTTAATACATAAGTTTATTGTATAAAGTGTGATATTTAAGCATTTTTAAAGTCAGGGGACTTCAAGGTCTACCTGGTGCTCAGCTGTAATCAGTGGCGGCGCCAGAGTATTTTTGTTGGGTAATCTATGGTAGGGCTAACCCATACAATGGTGGGGCTCAAGTCAGTATTTGCAATGTAATTACATACACGCTATATCGCCCCCCTTGACAGTGAAACGCCACGCGCGAGGTTTAGATTATTTCCCTGTCTCAATCCAAATTGAACTGTATGAAATAAAAAGGCACATCTGTCTTAGTAAATAAAAAGGACGACCTGGAGCCAATCCGGCAACTTCCCTACAGGGGAAATAATTGACATGCTGAAAACCCAACCCCTGCTGGGGGGATTGTCCCCCAGGAGATTTTTTAAAATACTAACATAAAATACACATTCTGGTACTCTCTTGAGAAGAAAAATAAATACATCTATTACTACACGACATATTTAAAAAAATGAATGCCATTTTAGTTTTGTGTTACTTTGTTCTGAAAGCTGAACCTGCTGCTCCTCACAGAGAGAAGAGGGAAGAGGCTGTGAATTACTTTACATTGTGGATAAGGGTGGATAGCCCCCATTGTTCTGTGTGTCAAAATGAAAGACAGCCCACACACCTATCAATCATCAAACCGTGGGTCTTATTTCATTACGTGTTGATTTCTATCAACATGTAATGTTGTATCGATGTAAATAGAGATGTACTACAGCACAATTATTCTCCGTCGGGACTTCCTGCAACAACACCACGCCGTTATCTTGATTCTGATTGGCCAGAAGACATTATCAAAGATGTTCTATTGGAAGACGATCACTACGTGACAAAAGTTTTCAAAACCGTTTCTGGTCTTCGGTATTTCCAGACAAGTGGCTGCTGAAATCAATCTTACTAACTGCTGTCTGTACAATTTACCCCGCGCGAGTTGGCGGACTTTATTTTGCTTACTTTAACATCATTTTTCATGGTGGGGCTAAGGTGGGGCTAATCAATTTCTTGGTATGGCTGTAGCCTACCCCAGCCATACCCTGGCGCCGCTGTTGGCTGTAATCATGAGTAATGTTTCACGATATAAAACCAATTTGAGTAAATCCAGACTGAGATGCTTTTAATGACAGAATTCCTGCTGGTGCAGCCATGTTGAACTGTGATAAAGTTGAAACAGATCAGAGTGCCTTTGATGATGATGATGATGAAGATTGGAGATATTTGTACTTTACTCCGAATTAAATTGTACAATAATTACACTGTGAATGGTGGAGTAGAAGCATAACATTGCTTATAAAATACTTCATTACTTTCCACCTCTGCATTTGAAAAGTGAATATTGTCAGCCTGAAACGGAGCTAGTTTTCTCAGTTCTTATTGATAGTAATCTGAACATTAGCAGTTTTGGACTGTTGGATAAACAAAGCAAGAAATCTAAAGGTGTACCTTTTGGATTTCGGAAATTGCAATAAGTTATTTATTAAAGGTCACAACTTCAGATGATCCCATAAAGGAAAACAAATGTTTTAGTCCTGGCTTTGTGCATCTTTTATATACATTTATCCCAAAATAATGTTATACACATTTCTCCAAAATGTCGGAAGCTTTGGATGTGTGTGTGTGTTAACAGTCTTACATTTTGTGTTGCGCACCTAAATCCGCTCCTTGAAACAAATATTCTCATGACTTTTGATCAGGCCCATCTAGTCAGACTGGATGTTGCTGCCAAATGAGTTAAACACATTTTTAAGATGATCACAGAAATTAAAAGGACATGCATGCTCAATCAGAGCTGACAAAAACTGCCCTTCAATTACCTCTGTGTACTGTGTGTACTCTTTAAAGCTATTAAACTGAATACATTGATCCGTGCGTTCCTCTGGCTCCCGTTGGATCCACCTAAACCTTTCGACCCGCTGATCCAGAGAGGATTTTGCTGAGTCACATGCAGGTGTGGGAGGGTTACATGTGCACTGTCATTCTCCACATGGGCCGGGTTCTCCACGCGTGGGACTGGCTGGAGTCGGGATCTGCCCCTTCAGCCTCCTCCATAACTCCATCTGGAGGTGGTTTGCTCTGTGGTGGGGGTTGGTTAATGTGTTGTTAAGCTGTAAAGGAAGGAATGCGGGGGGGGGGGGGTGATGATTCATGTTTTCACACAGGTACCAGCTGACCCCTCCCACCTTCTCCTTACCTCTGAGCAGGAGAGGATGGACAGTGGAGGAGATAATGATGACATACATGTGTGCTGCAGGCGGTGTTCTGTCTGTGTTCTGATTGGCTGTTGCAGGAGACTCCCCTTTGACTTGTTGGAAAACAGAAATACAAATGTAGTTTCAAAGCTGGATGTTTGTGGGGGGTTATAGCATTTCTTAGTGAGCGTCACACTGTGTGTGTGTGTCATGGGTTTAGCTTTCATCACAACATGAGCCTAAAATCCTCTTGTTGCCGTGCACATGACCAACACACTTGTAATGGGGAAAAGTTATGCAGAGATTTAATAGGAATTCTGCTCTCGTGATTGTACAGGAGTTTTAGAGATTAAACACGTTTGGATTACTGCACACGTTTTTGATTTGAAGGACATTTTTACAAAGCTAATGATCTATTATATTAATAATCAAAAGGTGAATTCATCCTTATTGTTTGGTCTTTTCAATCCACCAGAATGCAAGTTTGTGTATTTATTTAATTTTTCTTAACCAAAACAAAGACGAGTTGCAAAAGAGAAGCTGCAACCACAATATATTTTTAGTTTTTGCTGGAAAATTTGCTTCAACAAATCAAGGCCAAATTACTTTTGATGAATTGAGCCACTGAGATTGAGTGACTTATTGTTGGTGTCCTTCCACTTTTTGAGGATAATAGTACACATAACATGGACAGGCAGTAACTCAACCTCAAAACGTATTTGGATTGGATACTAATAAAATATACATATGTTTTACAAAGGTTGGGCTTGATATACAAATATTGACTTAACTGTATTGCAACTGCAACCTGGCAGCCTGATGTGCTCACGTAATTGAAATCAGTTAGCATGCTAACAATATTAGCGCCTCAAAGAGCTGCTTACATTTGATCTGCATTTCTTTCAGATATGATAACTTTGAATTCAACACGCTAATTAACACGTCTAATATGTGTAATGTGTACTTGTAAAGCCCTTTGAGCACCTGTAAAAGCGCTCTAATAAAAAATGTAATGCATTATTATTATTATTAATTTCTGAGACCATGACACAGCGCCATCAGTATAATGAAGTCTGAAGAACACAGATTATCCAGATTAAATAAACCACTTTACTATTTAGTTCATACTGCAAATTGTTATAATCTCTCATTGAACGAGAATGCTCAGGAAAAGTCAGAGTTGAAGCAGGAAGTGTGTCTGTGAACAGTGATAGATGTTTACAGCTGTTATAGTTTCACTGTTCACCTCCACAACTCACACAGAGAACTTTGATGTACATAAAAGGCCTTTATAATGAGCACATAAACCAAAAAACTGCACCAAACACCTGTCCTGAAGGTCTGACAGCTGATCATCAGCTGATTGTGAGGAGGCTGCCTAGCAACAAAACACAAAAAAATCTTTTGTGGCCTCCAATCAAAAGGCAGCGCAGAGCACCCAGGAGTCTTCAGACTATAAGTCAATAAAGGTCTTTTTAAATAAGCAAAAAAAAAAGACAATTTCCTGAAACTCAGCAGCTCTGAAAACAGCATGAACACTGAATATTATGGGATGTCAAACTGGGAAATAAACAAGGTTTCTATGTCGAGGCTGGGATGTACAGGGGTGACTCATGAATACAGCCCAGGGGTTAAGACTATGTATAGGAAATGTGTGTGTGTGTGTGTGTGTGTGCATGTTTCTGTGCAAGAGAGAGAAATGTCACACACACACATAAACACACGCACGCACACAGTGTTATGGCTGCCAAACAATAAGTGAATAACCTCTGCTAATTAGCCATTCACTCCACTGTTTCCTGCTGCATTCAGAACGTGTCAACATGTGGCTTTCGTGTCTTGTATTGATTCACACACACACACACACACACACACACACACACACACACACACACACACACACACACACACACACACACACACACACACACACACACACGCACACGCACTATTGAATGTGGAGCTGATGATGAGTAAGCCTGTCATTACCTGATACTTTCTGTCACCCAGGGCGTCCAAAACGGCAGTCCTCACCAGCTGCCCTTTATCCAGTTAAGGTTGACATAATGTTATTTTCCCTGAGGAAAAAAACGCGTGCGTGTGTGTTGTTCGTGTGTTGTCCTCTTGAGAGAGATGCAACTTGTACGGTAACAGACAGTGTAACATCTGTAATCAGAGTTTTTTTTACAACAACTTTAATTTAATTTCTGTCGTTTTGCTTTCTATCAGATATCATAACGACACTGTTAAGGATGCTTAGAGTCATTTTTATTAAAGCAGATGTAATCAATGTGTTTTGGGGTAGCAGCCAACAGAAGAAAGATACAGTTAGTAATTAGTACACATACATTTTCCCTTTGTACAATTTAACAACATCTGTGGTTTTTGGCCAAGTTCTTGCAAAACTAATGAAATTACTCTCAGCCTCAGCTAAAATCTAAATTAATGAATTCATTTGATACATCAAACAACGTCTGATGGTGACCTAAGTTGGGAAAAAAGATTACACAAAGGGTTTATCAAGTCACAGGAGAAGAGTTGATCCAAAGCAGTACGCCACATCTGCAGAGACTCAGCTGTCAAAAGTCTCATATAGGATCAAGAGACATGAGACAAAAGGTGATGTTGGTTGGAGAGGTGTGCCGTGGCATCGTGACAAACTGCGTTATAATCAGACAAACAAAAATGGTAAAAAAAAAGAGACCTTAAAAGCGTTGAACGACCTTCTGTCCTGTTTACACACAGAGTCGCTCAATGAGCTGCAAAGACTGAAGCAACAAGTCCGTTGTCTGCCCCCCCCCCCCCCCCCCCCAGTTCCCTCCAACAGATAGCCAGTCAGGAAATTAAAAAACGCGACCGTGAGAGCGAGCGGCGCCTGCGTCGTCACAAACAGATAAAGCGGTTTATTGAACCCCCGGCGACTGAAAATTGCAATAAAGCAACAACAGGAAGGAGCGTATGGAGGCAGAGCTATAATTAGACCTCGGTGTTTGCCAGAGGGACTCCAAATCTGAGATAAAAAGTAGCGGCTCATCGGTGGAGGTGAACCTGGTGTCCCGGGTTGTTTCCATCCGTCCATCGCCTAAGGGACATTGTTAAAAAAGAACCAGAGATAACCCCTTGCAAAGCCTACTTGTTTGGGGTATTTAGGAGATTCTTTCCCCCTCTCTTCTCATGAATATTCCTTTTCTCCAGCAGACGTGCTGAACGACGCCATCTTCGACGAGGACCACGACGAGATGGTGATCGTCAAAGACATCGACATGTTCTCCATGTGTGAACATCACCTGGTGCCCATCTTTGGAAGGGTGAGCATAAGCAGCTGTTCTCCCTCTGGTGGAAGCAGCCTGTCCTCCTACAAAAAACGACCATATAGGTCAATTGTTCAGCAGCTAAATACGACCCAGAGTCACGTTTTAAAGTGTAGCACCTCTAGTGGTCGTGTAAGAAACAACATGCTCCTGTCGATTATTCACAAATAACCCTCTCTGGAAAATCCTAAATTGTGGAATAGTTTTCGCCATTCAAATGCTTTTTTATTAGATTTCTAGCGAGAAGTGTATATTGTACTTTTATAATCTACGTCCAGTGGATGTGTAGGATCTACGGTTTGATAGATATACGAAGATGATTTGAGGTCTCGCCAGGAGAACGTGTACTGTATATGGGGCAGCTTCCATGTAAAGTTAGCGTGGGTGAAAACAGTATTTCCGGTCTCGAAGTTTTCATAATAAAACCGGAAGTATTCCCCACACTGTCAAATGATTACACAGTGATATCGCCATTACTAAAAAACATCAGTGTATCCTTGTTAATTACACAATATTGATTGGTTTAAATTGTGTACAATGCTTTTGTGTTTTTAACTTTCGATTCGGAGAAACAAATTGTTTTTTCGGAGTTTAGACACTACAGAGTTTCCGAAGACACTACACTACCCAGAATCCCCAGCTATCGTTTGGGACTACAACATCCGCCTTGCTTTACAAACCCCGTGATTAGCCCTCAAGCTCTGTGATTGGATGTTGGAGTGGCAGTGCGACAAGGTTACGCCGAATGTCAAACAGCTCTTTGAAATGGAATGGAACCACGCCAGACTATCCAAAACTGGACTTAGACGGGTCCAGCCCATGGATGTATAATAAGAACTGGATACAGCGTGGGAGGCGGGGCCTCATTCATTCCTATGAGAGCTGCTCATTAGCGCATGATGATAAAATGGCCCAACTTTTGAGAGAGTGAAACGTCACAGATTACCCAGCATGCCTGAGAAGTACCGTATGTGCACTCATAGAGCAGGCGCAACTTTAACCAAAATGCTTGTTCACATCAAGCACGTCAATTTGCGTACACGTAATAGCACCGTGCGTTCATGACAGCATGGTAATGGATTGTTGTTATCATGGATTTGATATGAACGAGGCGGCAGTTAGCAGCTAGCGGCTAGCTAGTAATGATGCTAATGTACACATCAATCGTTATGTACTTATATTACGCTGTAACAGGATCTAGTGATATCCAACAGAGCTTCATTTAGCATGAAATTATTATTGCACTGTATATATATATATTTATATACAGTGCAATAAGCTTCTTAGTGCAATACGAAGCTACAGGGACGTTAATAATGTCGGTAATATTAACTTTATGTAATACAACATTTACGGTACAAGATTTAATCATACAGCCCATGTATGATATTGAATTACAGCAAACATGTGCAATATATCCATTATTACAGCTCCGTGGGATGGCAGTAAGACGATATGGATCCGTTCTTATTGTGCATCCATGGGTAAAGATAAACGCAACTCACATTGGTTTCTCATACAGCATCTCTGTAAACTACGTGTATTCACTGAATTTCACTCTCTGCCTTTAACGGCTCGTTGTAGCTCCAATAGCTCCAGCCCCCACCCTCCCTGTGAGCACAGTGTGCTCTGATTGGTCGGGACCATGCTGAACACGTAACATGAACGTGCCGGGCGGCGCGGTCCCGTAGGTTAGATGCACGTTCATAATGCAGAGGGAAATAACTCTCAGAATAACGTTATTAGCTAATTTTTACAACTTGAGGAATGAATGTTTTTAATAAGGGCTATACAAGTGTTCATACTGGGTAGTTTATTTAGTTTAAAAAAAATTATCCAACGAGTTACAGACCACTCTTTCCCCATGTAAGTCAATGGGAAAAAGTGTTTCCGGGCCTGGCAACCAAACGGAAGTGTAGTACCGCCGTTTGGCCAGCACGAATATTTTCATCTGAGTCCGGCGCACTTCCTGGGGGCTTGGTCCAGCCCCCCCCCCCCACCCCCCCAGAATTACACATGCTGGCTATTGTGTGTTTCGCAACATGTTCTATGGCACGTCTCTACTGGGAATTGTAGTTTTAAAAGACATTTTTGTATTTCCCACAATTAGAAGTTGCCAGTATTAAACTGTATACATCCCCGGAGGTTTAGGGGATACGAAACATATTGGTGTTATCAAATTTAAAACATATAATTAATACATGGGTGGAAATTGCTTGTGTCCATAATGGGCAGCATTAATATACCCACATGACAGCTAAGGTCAGAAGAGCTTTATTTAACAGCTGGTCTTATGTCTGTGACCCCTCCTGTTGTTAATTGATAAGCCTGAAACATGCACTGGTCAAGGTTCAGATGCACATTTAGCAAATATGGCAGTAGCCATCGATCATCTTAAGATAAGATACTTTATTGATCCCAAGTTGGGAAATGTTTTTGTTACAGCAGCATGTACTACTTTGTTCTACTCCACTACAATTCAGAGGTTAACCTGGTATTTTTGCTCTACTACATTTATTTTTGTTACTTTGCAGATTCTGATTAATGATGTGAAATATAAACAACCCTTAAATCAGACTTTAGTTACACCTGAGTAAAATGCAGCCTTATCGGTTTGTCTGTTTTGCACATCCTCCTGTTAATATCTTTGGACGTCCTGCACTAAACTGTTTTATTGTGGAGATCACTACAGTATCTTCTTGATATTTTCTATTCTATATTTCTATCATTGACCCCTATTTTGTATTTAGGCTACTCTTAATATTTAAATGTTTTCATTAAATATAACTTATTCAACAACTAAATTCAATAACGTGCTTTAACCACTAGGCGGTGCGGTTTATAAAACCAGTGGTCTAGTTAATAAAACATAATAATATCAAACATAATGACTATTAACTTTATTGTGAAATTAAAACAGAATGGTAAAGGAAAATACAGTTTCAGTCTCTCGATGTGAAGCTTATGCATTGTACCATGAACTTGTATAGACCTGTAACAGTCAACTGCATGAGGAGTTGGAAACAGCCTGTCCTCCTACAAAAAACGACCATATAGGTCGATTGTTCAGCAGCTAAATACGACCCAGAGTCACGTTTTAAAGTGTAGCACCTCTAGTGGTCGTGTAAGAAACAACATGCTCCTGTCGATTATTCACAAATAACCCTCTCTGGAAAATCCTAAATTGTGGAATAGTTTGGCCATTCAAATGCTTTTTTATTAGATTTCTAGCGAGAAGTGGATATTGTACTTTTATAATCTACGTCCAGTGGATGTGTAGGATCTACGGTTTGATAGATATACGAAGATGATTTGAGGTCTCGCCAGGAGAACGTGTACTGTATATGGGGCAGCTTCCATGTAAAGTTAGCGTGGGTGAAAACAGTATTTCCGGTCTCGAAGTTTTCATAATAAAACCGGAAGTATTCCCCACACTGTCAAATGATTACACAGTGATATCGCCATTACTAAAAAACATCAGTGTATCCTTGTTAATTACACAATATTGATTGGTTTAAATTGTGTGCAATGCTTTTGTGTTTTTAACCTTCGATTCGGAGAAACAAATAGTTTTTTCGGAGTTCAGACACTACAGAGTTTCCGAAGACACTACACTACCCAGAATCCCCAGCTATCGTTTGGGACTACAACATCCACCTTGCTTTACAAACCCCGTGATTAGCCCTCAAGCTCTGTGATTGGATGTTGGAGTGGCAGTGCGACAAGGTTACGCCGAGTGTCAAACAGCTCTTTGAAATGGAATGGAACCACGCCAGACTATCCAAAACTGGACTTGGACGGGTCCAGCCCATGGATGTATAATAAGAACTGGATACAGCGTGGGAGGCGGGGCCTCATTCATTCCTATGAGAGCTGCTCATTAGCGCATGATGATAAAATGGCCCAACTTTTGAGAGAGTGAAACGTCACAGATTACCCAGCATGCCTGAGAAGTACCCGTATGTGCACTCATAGAGCAGGCGCAACTTTAACCAAAATGCTCGTTCACATCAAGCACGTCAATTTGCGTACACGTAATAGCACCGTGCGTTCATGACAGCATGGTAATGGATTGTTGTTATCATGGATTTGATATGAACGAGGCGGCAGTTAGCAGCTAGCGGCTAGCTAGTAATGATGCTAATGTACACATCAATCGTTATGTACTTATATTACGCTGTAACAGGATCTAGTGATATCCAACAGAGCTTCATTTAGCATGAAATTATTATTGCACTGTATATATATATATATATATATTTATATACAGTGCAATAAGCTTCTTAGTGCAATACGAAGCTACAGGGACGTTAATAATGTCGGTAATATTAACTTTATTTAATACAACATTTACGGTACAAGATTTAATCATACAGCCCATGTATGATAATGAATTACAGCAAACATGTGCAATATATCCATTATTACAGCTCCGTGGGATGGCAGTAAGACGATATGGATCCGTTCTTATTGTGCATCCATGGGTAAAGATAAACGCAACTCACATTGGTTTCTCATACAGCATCTCTGTAAACTACGTGTATTCACTGAATTTCACTCTCTGCCTTTAACGGCTCGTTTTAGCTCCAATAGCTCCAGCCCCCACCCTCCCTGGGAGCACAGTGTGCTCTGATTGGTCGGGACACGTAACATGAACGTGCCGGGCGGCGCGGTCCCGTGGGTTAGATGCGCGTTCATAATGCAGAGGGAAATAACTCTCAGAATAACGTTATTAGCTAATTTTTACAACTTGAGGAACGAATGTTTTTAATAAGGGCTATACAAGTGTTCATACTGGGTAGTTTATTTAGTTTAAAAAAAATTATCCAACGAGTTACAGACCACTCTTTCCCCATGTAAGTCAATGGGAAAAAGTGTTTCCGGGCCTGGCAACCAAACGGAAGTGTAGTACTGGCGCACTGCCTGGGGGCTTGGTCCAGCACCCCCCCCCCCCCCAGAATTACACATGCTGGCTATTGTGTGTTTCGCAACATGTT